GCCAAGAAAGATTATCATTTTAAATCAAAGTTACTCGGGTTCTTTGTGCTCGGTCTCTGAAGGGGCAGGTCTCGGGGAGGTCCTTTGAGCGGGAGTGGGTGTCTGTTTCGCATTTCTGGGATGAAGGAGCAGTTTATTAGGGTTCCGGGGAAAGGGGTCTGTGAATCGGGGTCTCCGGGCTTAGAGGGCGAGGTCTCTGCGCCCCGCTGGGGCCGGCCGGGCGCCTGGGTGTGCTGCTGGGGGCGGAAGGGTGTACCGCGGCGACCGGCGTCTTTATTGGGGTTTTTGCTTTGCCCAGAGGGGGGCGGTAACTTGGCATGGTCTCCAGTCGTTATGGGGGGGACGGGGAGAGTTCGCGGGTTCCCGGGTGATCTTGAATGGTGGGCGCGGCCCCGCAGGCGCCGGGGCGACTCGCAGCGAGAGGGGGCTTCAAGGGGCATCCTGAGCCGGCCCAGGGGACCGTCTGGTCGGCCAGCCGCCTGGGACAGGTCTTTCTTTCGAGATGAGGATGTACTCATGCTCGGTTGGAAGGTCGATCCGTTCTGTTGACTAGTTGGAGAAAGAGTGGGTTCGCTCTGCAGTTTTCTCTCCTCTGCCCCAGGGTCTCTGTAGGGCGTGCTGGCCTTGCTGCTCTGGGACCAGGAGTGGCAGCAGCCCCTGCGGCGGGGGTGTAGACTATAAGTTTGTTTGGTTTTTTTTTAGGAGGCGAGTGTCCTCGGGTTGAGCGTAGAAGCCGCTGAGGATGGGGAAGCATGTGTAATTTTGGTTTTGGCTTTCCTTTCCTAGGTGATCTGCTTTGCCCAGACTGTGTTAGGTCTGGACTCAAGTCTTGTCTGAATTAGGGAAAGTCAAGTGGTGCTGGGAAGGTGTGTTCTGGCTTCTCTAGACTAAAGCATGTGTGGATAAGGGAAACTTCAAGTTTAGCCTCCACGTAACATACTGGAATTTGAAGTTCCAGAGCTAAAACTCTGCAGCAGTGTCATTGGAGACCGGTACGCGTGATTAACAGAGCTCTGTTAGAGAATCTTGCTGAACAGTTTTATTGGAAAGGTACAGTCCGTCATGAAACTTAGGTAGAGTTCTCGGTAACTAGCCCAGGCTTAGATGCAATTCGAATAAAACGACCTGTATATATGTGAAATGTGGTTCAAAAAAAAAAAAAATCTATGGGTCAGAAAGTCGGTGAGTTTGCCTGACAATTATTCTGGTTAGATAGCTACTTTGTCATCGAGGCCTGTAAATGAAGTCTGATGTGGCAGGCAGTGGAGCTCATAGTAATTCTGTGATTTTAGGTAAACAGACAAATTTAAGTATGCCAAAGCAAAGAATTTTGTCTTTTTCTTTTGGTTTTAGAATCAGATAGATTAGGGAAAATGTACTTAAGCCTTGAATATTGCAATCATTTTTTTAAAAAAAAATGGAATCCTGCATAGCAAATATTTAAGTCTTTGGAGAGTTTACGTTGTTCTTTGTTGTTAATGTTATAATTAAAACCAGAATACCTGATTGACTTTTATAGCTATCAAAACTGATCAGTTCAGCAGATATTTGGAACTACAGCCAAACTCCCCCCAAACAAACAAGAACCCCCCAAAATGTAAGCAAACTTTTTTCTCCTCACTTTTGAAAGACAAATGACAAATTAAGCGGATTTCAATAACTTATTTTTAAGCAGCTTTTCTAATTTCTAAGTAAACATAATAATCAATCAACAAGTATTTGATTAGCTGCTAGGTGTCAAGCACTGGAGGTCCAGTGATTCCAGCTCTCATGTAACCTACTAGTACATGGAGCGAGAGAAGGACAACAACTAAATACATAAAATAATTGAGATGCTGATAAGGAAGAAATAAAAGCATACTTGGGATTTAGCTCACTTTTTAAATAACCCCTGAATGATAATATAATTGATGTCTGTTGTGATAACCAGAAACCAAGCAAGATAATGATCAACCTTCTGAATTATTAAAGACAAGATTACATTATGATCAGTAGAGTTTGGGTATTAAATATATATTGACTCTTTGAGGATTAGCACCTGTTGTTATGTAAGCATAAAAAAGTCTGTAAGAACACACATCAAACTTATCAGTGTTTGGAGGATTTTTCAAGAGAAATTGCAAAGACATAAGACAGCTTATTAACTTTGTTTTTATATTATTTGAATCTATTTCAATGAGCAGACATTAATTAAGTGTAAATTAGAGAAGTGTAAAAATTAAAAATTTTGATCACTGGGCAAATTTGTGAAAAGTACAGTATTTATCAGACTTTTGTCAGTGTTGCCACGTCTACTTGTGTGTATTAGTGAAGGAAAAATATATATTTTAAGGATCTAAAAATTATAGGGGTGGGGAGCATGACAAAATAAGAAAAAGACTGAAACAAGTAAAATGTTAAAACATGTTGGAAATTTAATTATATAAAGATAAGTTAATCTTAGGCCTTTCTTTTTTCAAATTTAATTGTGTCCTAAGTTTGACAAAGGAAGTTTTTAGACTCTCTGCAGAAGAATAGGGTGTGTTTTAATGGCAGAGGAGGAAGTGTTCTTGTTTTGTGAAACACATGCAAATCTAATAGATACGTTTTTCTTCTAAGGCATATGAAACGTAAAGATAGTTCTATAGTTCATTATTACACTGCTGAAAATTACAATAGCAGAGTGTCTTTTGGATTATCATTCAGCATTCTAGAATCATAAATATGATATACTAAGTCACTTTCTAGAAAGGAAATAATAAGACATGAATTCCCATCTTTAGTGTGCAACTAACCATATGACCATAGGTAATTCCTTAGTCTCTCAGCGCCTCCGTTTCTGTATATATAAAATTAAAGCAAGAGAATCTCTATAAATAATCTATATAAATTCCAAGGGTTTTATTGCATTGGTTTTTATGTTGCAGATCTGCAGTATTATATGCACAAAAAGAGATAGATGCCATAAGAGTAGATAGTACTCAGGATACAACTAGTTTCATATAATTTTTACAAGTCATACCTAATTTTAGAAGCCTCTTCTTTTTTAAGATTTATGAGAAATACTTAATTCCAGAATATACATTTACGAGGGTAAACGATTTCCTTTTGATAACTTAGCTTTGTCTGTTAAAGCGTTGTTGGTTTTATTTCTGGTCCCTGATTCTATAGTAGAATATCTATGTGATAATCTAATGTCCTTATTTAACTCTGATTGTAGAATGAGGTCTCTAGTGGTTGACCCCCTTTAATCCATACTTTACACTAATGCCAAGGTGATTTTTCTAAAATGCAAATCTGTCCAGTGCTTCTTTATTAAAACCTATACTCCTTCCTTACCTACAGTGTTTAGTCCAAACTATGTATTGTTACAAGGCCCTTCATCATCTGACTCATCTCTTGCCATCCCCCCACCATAAACTTAAAGCTCTAACTGTATTAATAAAATCAGTTCGCTGAAAGAGCCATACTGCTTCCTGATTTAGAGCCTTTTCATATATTCTCCCCATGGCTTAGCATGCGTTTCCTTTTCCTAACTTGTTGACAAAGACTACTGATTTTTACAACCAAGCTCTATCAGCTTTTTAAGTCTTCAGTGTCCTTTGCTCTCCTTCTTCCCATCCCACTCGGTTATTCACTCTTTATGTCTTGTTCATTCTCTGATGTTACTTAGTTTGCTATAATTATTTATGTCTGTCTCCTCCTGGATTCAAAGGCAAGTTTATATTTGTATTAGTACTTTTTCGATCTCTATTGCTTATTTTACACTGTTGGTTCTCATTACATGTTTGAACTCTCAATGCCAAGATTAATACTATATAATAAAAGCCTAATATGCTAAGTGTCCTGTTGACTGGTCGGCTGTTCAACCAATCACAGTGTGATATGCTAAGGCCGCTCAACGGCCGCTATGACATGCACTAACTACCAGGGGGCAGACAGTCGACCAATCCACCAGTCACTATGACGTGCACTGACCACCAGGGGACAGATGCTCCGACTGGTAGGTTAGCTTGCTGCTGGGGTCTGGCTGATTGGGACTGAGCAAGAGGGGCCGAACACGCCCTGGAGCCCTTCCGAGGTCCCTCCTCAGCTGGCCAACCTCCCTCGTGCCTCCCCAGACCCAATCATGCACCGGTGGGGTCCCTTGGCCTGGCCTGAGCCCTCTTGCAATCTGGGACCCCTCGGGGGATGTCAGAGAGTTGGTTTCAGCTTGGTCCTGCAAGCCAGGCCAAGGGACCCCACTGGCTTACGAATTTGTGCACCGGGCTTCTAGTGTCTTCATAATATCTAAGATGAATTAAGCTGAAATCTCAGTGTTGTCCTATTTTTCTAAAACTTTGGGCTTTCTAAATTATCTTACTTTCTTGCCTCACTGGCCTCAAATTGACATTCGATTCTTATTAAGAT